CTGTGGGACAAGCGTTGCTTTATGGGGTAGAATGTTTAACGCTCAAGAAATAATATACCCATAAGATGAGTGTTGTTGAGATGAGGATGTTGAGATGGATGATTGACAGGACAAAAGGGGTAGAATTCGAAATGAATACATTCAAGAGGATTTAGGTGTGGCTCCAATAGGAGATAAGATGAGATAAAGTACACTTCAGTGGGCTGAGCAGCGGGGACCCAGTACAACACATGTTAGGCGGATTGAGTTCATTCAAGTAGAAGGCTCAAAACGGGTAAGGGGTAGGCCTAAAAGAACATAGTTGGAAATAGTGAGAGAAGGTGTAGGGACTTATGGACTCAATGAGAGTATGACCCTTGATGGAGTAAAATGGTGGACCACGATTCATATAGCCAACCTCAAATAGTTGGAAAAAGGCTATGATGATGATGATGATGATATTTAGATGCCTCGTATATAGATAGGAGACTTTTAAAGTATGCAAACTCAACCATTATTGATGTTTTAATCAACGTACAAAGACTTGGTGATCCTCCAGTTTGGTTGGATGCATGCATCCAATATTCTACATCCCATAGTTACTGGAATCTCTCACCCAAGGTCGCGTTTCCACTTCGGAATGCCAATTCCGCAATTCTGACAAGGAATCTTCATGGAAACCATTTATGTGAAGTCAAGAATCTCGATACTTTATTTTAGGAATCACGATTCTAACACTCCTAAGAATATCATTTTTAATGTTTATTGATTCTCGATTTCGTCTTGAATCTCACTTCTACATTTGTTGAATCTGGATTCCACATATAATGACATACTCTCCATCAAATTAGAAACACTAACATAAGGCCATGAATTACAAAATAGGCAATTAAGAACCTATGAGAGGCATCAAATCAGAAATTAGATTCCAAAGATATTGGAATCTCAATTCCATATGGGTCAATTTCAAATAGGTCTGAAAGTCAATTCCAAAGATGACGAAATCTTGATTCAATATATGTAGGGATCTCGATTCCATTTGGGTCAAATCTCGGTTCCTATAAAGTTGGAATCTTGTTTTCCACAATTTTCCTGGTATGGATGTTGATTTCAAAAACAAGAATCTTCTAGCCAACCGCGATTCCGTGGTTACCATTCCTAAAAGTATTTGGAAACTTAGGTGTTTCCAACAACTATGCTACATCCTATTTCTTTTTTATAATAAGTGTTGGCAGTGTATCTTGAGAATGCAAGAAGTAAATTAATTCGTCTTTGTTGATCACAGATTCTAAATATGGTGCAGCTATGTCATGACTTGTGATGATATGTGTTTACCATGTTTACTTTCATAATTTGGAGTAAGAATGTGATTCAATATCCCGATTATAGAAGATAGAATTAGGTCGATCAATTACCATTAAATTAGTTTTCTATTCAAGAAAAAAGTATGAGTGCATTTTCAATTCACATTAGAAAACACGAGTAATTTGACATTGTTTCCCATGTATGTTTTCTTTTTTTTGAATTTTTGTTACCCATGTATGTTCCAACCGGTGCTTTTTAAAATGCGTTACACGGACCTGATCCAGTCGGGGTCCGATGTAGAGATCGGCTGAATGCGGTCCCGATGCAGGCGCATCACCTCTAATGTAGTCAATAAAGTTAAAAGTTTAAAAAATACAAAAATATAATAATAGATAGAAAAAACAAAAATAATTTTATGTGATAGTAGATGTATCTATAATATATTAGCAGCATGAGACTTTGAACCCCTTGGTAGCTTGATAATGAGTAATAGATTTTGTTGTTCAAATTTCTAATCTATGATACTTTAAATGTCTAACATCATGTAAAACAAAGCAATCCATTCCATCTCATATGAAATATCCAAAATTCCAAACTTTAAAGTTTAAACTCCAAAGAGGAAAGACCAAAGGTTTATGACATATAAAAGAGAAAGATAATCAACTCTCAATCAGACAAGTCATCAAATACTTTAATTTCTTCTATCAATTCTTTTTGTCATATTTTCGTTTCTTTTTCTTTTTCTTGGTTATCGATGTATGCCCTAATCTCATTAGTTGCTTGTTGGCATGCTTTAACATTCCTGATAATACCGACTAGGTGCTCCTTTGACCAAAAAATACTCCCCATACAAGTATTCCCACATAGAGTACAAATAACGCAGTTTCAATCCTAAGATATATTTCGACGTTGTATTCTTGTTACTTGAAGATGATTACGACATTGCTCCAGAAAAAAAAGAAGTATTTTTTTTTTTCCAGAATGAAGAAGTATTAGAAATTGAAAAATTTGCCAAACAACCCAAAGAAATTTTGATTTCTACTCAGCCCTTGAAAACCCTCAATTAGTTAGTGAATCTTTGCCTAAGTACCTTCCGCATAATGCCCAAAACAATCTCACGGGATAGTCAAAAGAATATCTTAATTTTTTTCGTAAACTTCGGATTCAATAAATAATTAAAAGTTGGAAATGTTTGGTTTTTAATCATAACCATTAAAATGGTTTTATTTTATTTTTTCCCCCCCAAACCCTTTCCCACCTTTTTGTAGGTAAAAAAGACAATTTTGCCCATGCTTGTGGACATATTTCTGCTCACGAGCACAGAGTGCACAATTTGGGTGATGTGCCACATAGGCCGCAGGGGCATCACATTTTTTTTTCATATGTTGCCTGGAGCGCTATGCAGCTTGGACCGTTGCACTCCAGGCCTCATAGCTACATAATGTGCTCTGCGGCAGCACTTTGAAACAATGGTTCCACTAGGGTTGGGTTATGCGAAAAGGGTTTGTTGGGTTAGGGCAAGGTTTAGAATATGTTTTTTGGGTTTCTGAAGGGGTTAAAACTTGCTGGAATTTAGCAGGTTCAACAAGGTTAATTAATGGATTTGAAGGGAACGAGACAAGATTAGGGCTGATTTAGGATTGGGGGGCTTAGGCGTATAGGTAATAGATTTGGAAGGAGATGGGCTTATTTTATTAGTGCTTGGGGATGGTCAATTTGATGGGGATGGAAATAGGATGTAAAATTTGATTGGGAGAATATTGGAAGAAAAAGCACCACAGAAAAGGAAAAATAAGGTTCTAACGTTTTGGGGAGACTATCCCAAACTTAAGCCTTTTTTTTATTGCATATTCTCTAGTGGTCAAGGTGAGAGTGCTGGCGACCCTGGTAGAGGCCTGAGGTTGGGCATTTTAAGCTCAGTTTTGACGGAAGCTCGTGGGGTAATCTAGGACAGGCTGGGGTTAGGCGGAGTACTTCGGAACCACCTCATTCAAAGGCTCCCTTACTATATAACTCAATGTGCGTATCCATGATTTTTGGCATTTGTTGACCCACCCAGGATGTGGCACCCATGACTAGCACTTCAATAAAAAATTAAGATAATTCATATGGTTGAATGTAACAATGGAAGTACTTAATGTCACTTAGAATCCGACTTCCCAACTTTAAATTGTGCTTAGCCATGTTGTATCTGAAGGCTTTGTGTCTCTCTAATACTTGCATTTGTGTTAAATGCTGTCACATGTATCCTTATCTTTGTAACATAACCACCCTTGGAGTGTGATACTACAGTGGCCGAAGTAAGAGCCCTAATCAGGGTGCATATTGTATGTAATTCTGATTGCTTACCCATGGACATTGGGTGGGACCACCTCAGTGTCATCCTGAGGGCCAGGAAAGAGACTTTGCTGCCATGGAAAGTGGCTTATGTATGCCAGAAATTTCATAGTTGCAGCCCATAACTTTCTTGATGGGATAGCTGATTGTCTGGCTAAAGGTGCCAAGTGTGATCCATTAGTAACCTCTCTATTGGATGCATTTTAGGTTGAGATGACTTTCAGTATCTGTCTCTCAAGTTTCTCATATATGCACTTGATTTTGTATCTCTCGTTTTGGTGGATTTTCGGGTGATTTGGGGAGAATTTGTCTGCTGTTTCTCTAGAAGCCCACCTTTCACACTGTTTTAAGTGCATATGCAAACAAGAAACACCACTGCTTTTTGTCTGATAAAGAACTAGAAAATACTTGTTTTAACCCAAGAAAAGTGCCTTTTCTGTCAAAGTCAACATAGAAACTTATGCATACACGTGCAGCAGCCACACAACTGGCAGGTCTGTATTTCTATAAAGAGCACTAAATTCAAAAAGACATTCAAAATTTTGAAATCCTTTTGACATTTGACATCTGAGAGTAGATGGTACAGTATGTTGGATGAGAGGGATGGTAGAACTACTAAATATGGATCTAGATGGTGGGTCGGAGGTAAGTTGCTCTCTCATCCCCTGATGTGTATGTTGATACTTTGTGCAGCTTAGGGATAATGATGGATGTATATAAAACTCGGCATATTTATTAGCGTTGAACAGGATATTGGCTTTGGTCATTCCTTTCTTATGGTTGTTCTGTGCGTGCAGACACAGTTGGTGTGATTTCGCTTTTAGGAAGTTTTGTCGGCCATATCTTTTAATAACTTAATATATACAGTGATATTATAGTTTTCATGAAAAAGTTTCAAAATAAAGCAAAGATAACAGGTTTCTTTCATTTTTAATTAGTAATTAAAGTGCTCCTGATGTTTAGAAAACATCAATAAAAGGAAATAGAAATACAGTGGATTATTTGCGAGTAACCAAATTTCTTAAATTATATTATTTGAATCATTGTAAGACTGAAGTCTACACATATCCTTCTCCTCCTTATTTCTTTCTTTTGTTGCTTTTTCAGGTAAGGTAGATTTAAAATTTGTATGATCTAGTGCTTTTCTCGCAAGATTTAGGCCTCAAAGACGAGTATTATGACTAAGAAACATCAAATGAGCAACTGTTAAGAGTTTTATACCTAAAAACGGTAGGGAAACACAAGTTCTATGACACATTAAACACCTGAAATATTGAGAATAACTTAGTTAATACTGTAATGTTGTCTGGCCTTTCTTATGATACATTGTTGTAAAAGAAAAAAGGTTGAATTCTTTGTGGGGTTTCTGTGATGTGCAGTTATGGGCTTGCTATGGAGTTTCAGCAGAAAGTGATCGATGCCTGGGCAAGCCATGGACCCAGTGCAAGAGATGAGTTCAGTGAAGCTCACAGGCTTCTTGAACAGCTTAAGAACAAGGGCAAACAGTCATCAGAGGGAGCTCCTATCAAGGCCTTGCCTCTTTCAAATTCAAGCAAAGTTACCCATAGCAAAATAATGGCCCTTTCTGATCTTGAAGTAAGTTAATCAAAATCATAAAATGTTACTTCACCACTTATCCAGCCAAAAGAGAACAAGAGAGAGAAATTGATTGATGCCTTTTCTCTAAAGGGTTATTTGATACTTACGCGCAAAATGCTTTCCACTTAGAGATTCAAGTTATAAATGTTGCTTCAATGACTCGGAATTTTGGGGGATCCAATTTTGTTTTGGGCCTGAACTCTTTCTGAATCAACTATTCAGATCTAGTTTTGTATTTTCTGGCAGATTATGCAAGGATCACAATCGTTGTACTAAGCTTTTACTCGTGTTGGATTTACCCTATAAATAATGCCATCAAATGTAACAACAGAGGGACGGACACACATGATTCTCTGCTCCTGTTGTACTGTGGTATATCTATTCAACATCAGTTTTAGAGGAGTGAAATCAACTGCGTTGGTCATGAATAATCAGATAAAAATATTATAATATGTTGATATCTAAGGGTCGTTTTAGTGGTCTTTTCTTGATCCTGGTTTTCTCGATAATTTTTCATCGTTCTCTTTGAAGTTTATTCGAAAAAGATGGAACCCTTCATCTGAAGAGCGCATATAGCGTGCTCCTGTTGGGGCACATTATGCACTTACTCCCTCGGGTAAAAGACTTTGGAGTGTATTCTCCATCTAAAAGTTTGGAATCCACTTTAGAATTACCGATCAGTATTGTCAATGGATTTTGAGTTTTTGAACACTTAGTACTACTGGCCGTCCGAAACTTGGGCGGTACCTATTTAATCTTAATCTTATATGTTTTTTTAGACAGGCAGAGTGCGTACGATTTCCTGTTTTTTCTTTTGGAAGTGGGGCGCCAAGTTGAATGAAATTTTGTGGTCCTGAACACACACCCCTAGCTGAGGGAACATATATGCACACTCTGGCGTATATAATCTTTCATATCATCCAAAAGATGGAGAATAAAACTTCGGCAGTACTTCGAAAAAAAAAAAGTCTTGGGAATTTATTCACCATTCCAATACGAGGATGCTGTTAGTGCTATAACCACTACTATTTCTCTTGTTATTATTTATTGGAAAATTATTTCATGCGGTGGGGATTGTATTTCTACAATTGTGGTCCTTGAGACATAACACATTCATTTTAACGATGGATGCAAATAGGCGGTCCATCTAAATTTGCATCCATCTAAACACAATTGAAACTAACGGTTCAAATGTCTTTTTAATAGAATTATTATTTTTAATTTTAAAAATTTATTTATTTATTGTATTCATGGTCTCCATGTTAGAGATTACATGTCTTTAAAAGTTAGGTCCAAAACTTCATCTCTAAGAATAGATTTTTAGGAGGTGACTCATTTCTACATGGACTCATGACGCATAAAAACTGTGTTGTTATTTATTTGGTGAAATTGTGAGTTTGATTTGTCTGATTCTTTTCTTTGCTTCTCTTTCTTGTGCTGCTGCTTCTCTCTGTTAGAGAGAGATGGCTATTAAAAAAATTTAGGAAAGAAATGGGACCCCTTCCTTTCCAATTTTTAGAAATGTCAATTCCATGTTTGGATCGCATGTGGCATAAATCATTTGGAATATCTTTTTTTTGGAAATACAAATTCTCTCTCTAAAATATTTGAGATAGTTTCTCTCTCTAAAATTTTAATGCTCTCTTTCAAAAACTTAAAATTTGAAAGTGAAAAGTTTATATAGAGATCAGGCTCTAAACAATCAAATTAGAGCCTACCTCAAAACTTTTACTAGCAAAGGTTGTTTTGATGCCCAAATATAATCAAATTGATCTTCTCCACATCAAGATGCATGGACATGAAAAAAAAATGGATTTCAAGTTTTGAATCTTGTAGCGCATTTTGAACCGTCAATTTTCAATATTTTCAAGCTTTCGTGGATCTGCTACTATTTTTGAAGCTTTAAATTTTACAACTAAAGATGAAAATATAATTTAAGGTTATTACAAAAATTTTCGGTGTTAAAACCATATTTCTCGACACTATTTAAATGTGGGCTCTAATTTGATCGTTTAGAGCCTCGGCTCTATACAAACCACACCAAATTTGAAATAGTTTCTCTCTCTAAAATTTTTGAGATAGTTTCTCTCTAAAAAATTTATATACTTTCTCTCTCTAAAATTTGATATAGTTCATTTCTCTAAAATTTTGAGATACTTTCTCTCTCTAAAACTTAAAATTTGAGATAGTTTCTCTCTATAAAATTTTTGAGATAGTTTCACTTTCTAAACAATTTCGAATAGTTTCTCTTTCTAAACAATTTCAGGTAGTTTCTCTCTCTAAAATATGATATAGTTTCTCTCTCTAAAATTTTGAGGTACTTTCTCTATCTAAAACATAAAATTTTAAGGTACTTTCTTACTCTAAAATTTGATATAGTTACTCTCTCTAAAATTTTAAGATGCTTTCTCTCTAAAACTTAAATTTTGAGATAGTTTCTCTTTCTAAAATTTTAATATACTTTATCTCTCTAAAATTTAAAATTTGAGATAGTTTTTCAGTATAAAAATTTTCAAATAGTTTCTCTCTAAAAATTTTAGGTACTTTATCTATCTAAAATTTGATATAGTTTCACTCTCTAAAGTTTTAAAATATTTTCTCTCATTAAAACTTAAAATTTGAGATAATTTCTTTCTCTAAAAATTTCATAAAAATTTAAATTTGAGATAATTTCTCTATCTAAATGTTTTGAGATATTTCTCTCTAAAATTTTTTCAGTAGTTCCTCTTTCTAAAATTTTATGTAATTTCTCTCTCTAAAATTTTAAGATACTTTCTCTAAAATTTTAAGATAAGTTCTCTCTTTAAAATTTAAGATTTGAGATATTTTCTCTCTCTAAAAATTTAATATGGTCTCTCTAAAATTTTAAATTTGAGATAACTTCTCTCACTATAATTTTTTATTATATTTTCTCTCTCTAAAATTTTTGTATATATTATCTTTCTAAAATTTGATATTGTTTCCCTCTCTAAAAATTTAATATGTTGTCTCTCTTTAAAATTTCATATAGTTTCTCTCTCTAAAATTTTAATATGTTTTTTATTCTTTAGCAACAAAATGGATTGTTTTCATGAATTGTCAATTGAGATTTTCAAAATTTAGGCTTAAAATGAGCATTCAAGAATCCCACAGAAATTCCAATTCCAATAGAAATGTCAATTCTAAGCGAATCAAACACAATTGGCTCAACTTTTCTAAAAAAGATAACTTTTGAAAAGATGAATCCAACGAGCAAAACGGGCCCTAAAGGAAAAGACGGACACTTTCTTCCCTCTCTTTTTGTTTTTCTTCTTGGGTGAGGAAGTCATCTGACAAGTACCTGGCTCAAGAAGGTCATGATACAAAAAGAACAAAAGCAATGGTTTAAAAAAGTACAGAGAAAATTTTTGTGCTTAAAAAACATAACATCATATATAAACCCTCAAGTGCGCATGAGAGAGAGAGAGAGAGAGAGAGAGGTCATTAACTTGGCAAAGTTGGTATAAATTAGTATTTTGAAGGACAAAAGGGTAGAATGCGACATCCATTCATTTCATATAGGACCAGCGTTTCGTGAAGTCTGTTACTCGGGCCCGGGCCCTTGCTGCGCACGCCCAAGTTATCCCAAGTTGGAGGTCCATATCGAGGATCTTAAAAGAAATTTCAGAAAAATTATAAAAAATTCTAAAAGAATAAGAAATACATTTGTAACATGTTTGATTTTGTTTTCGATCATTTTGATAAAGATTGGAAAGTATTTTAGTTATGAATACTTATTTTTATATGTTCCCATTTTTTTTGAAAATACCTCCGGTAATAAACTCATTTTAAAATTTATTTTTTGCTATATTTTTTTTAACCACAATTAGTTTTGTTTTGTTAAATTTTATTTTGAATATATTTTTCATATTTTTTAAGATTTTTTTTGTAATTTTTTATTTTTTAATAATTACTTGGGCATACTCGAGCCGAGTGACTCAGACTCGGGTAAGTACTCGGTTGGGGCATGGGCCGAGTGGTCGGCCTCAGTCGCCTTTTCCAACACTGTTTAGGACAAGTTGTATTGTTATGATCAAAATGCTGGAGGGTCAGCTTATTTACTAAAGCCTGATAAATACAAGCTTAGAAGGGAGAGAGGTTATAAATACCAGCTTTAGTTTAGGGCTGTTTATTTCTCTTCTCCCATTTGTCTCCTTTCTCTTTTCTTTGTTTTTTTTTTCTTTTCCTTTCGTTGTAAATTTTTTTTTCATTAATCAATGAAAATCTCATTATTTGTTAAAAAAAAAAAAAAAAAAAATGCCGTGGGATCATGCTTAACGATATTCAAATTTATACCACTAGAGTCGGGTCATAAGTCATTTTTCAGCATACCCTTTGCCTTTCTTGCATTGTCCTTGTCCGTAGGATACAGTTTCTATGAGTCCATGTAGAGATGAGTCACCTCTTAAAAATTTAGTTTTGAGATGGATTTTTAGAGTTAATTTTTAAGGACATGTAATCTTTAACATGGAGAATATGAATATGAAAAAATAAATAAAATTTGAAAATTAAAAATAATAATTCTATTAAAAAAACATTTGGACCGTTAGTATCAATTGGTTTTAAATGAACCATCTATTTGCTTCCATCTTTAAGAAAGATACTTTATACCTTGGGACCACAATTTTCCATATATATATATGGGTGTGGTTTATATAAGGTTACAAACTTAAACATTCAAAGTAATGCATATCTTCAAACTTTGTATAAGATGTGGTATACCACTCATTGCCAGAATTGCATCTTAAGATGTGGCAATAAAAATAGTTCAAAATTAGGCAGATCTATAAATACATGAAAATCTTGAAAATATACGATTTCCTGATGGGAAATTGGATTTTACTCGAGAGAGAGGTTGTGGCCTCCTGCGCAGAGAAAGAGGAGCCTCTCTCGAGAGAGAACAGAGCTTTTTGTGAGAGAAACAGTTTGTCTATACCTTACTAGAGTGTGGCATTGTGGGAGATTGAGTTTTAAGTATTTGGTTGTCTCAAATATGAATCCTTATAATTTTTCACTAATCAATTAGTGAAAAACTATCGATTGTCTTTGCTTATGGATGTAGACACACTTACGATGAACCACGTAAAATCTGTCCTTTTTGCAATATTTATTTCCTGCTTTACTTTTCGTACTTGTTGTTTGCTTGTTCCCGGTTCTATTTTTCTCATACTTTATTTGTAAAAAATTAACCCGTCGAATTTTAAACTTTTTGTGTACAACAAGTGGTATCAGAACATGATTTGGTGTGTCAGTATGGCGGTATAGATTTCGAATGTAAAGTTCAAGATGGAGAAATTTGAGGGCAAGAAATTTTTTTTTTCAGCAAGAATTGCAAAGGAATTTATTTGCACAAGGAGAAGACTTCATAATATTATCTGATGATTGTTGGAATGGCGAGCAAGTGACTTTTGATATCAAGGTGGAGATTGTTGGATTTAGTGATATCCAAAATCACGTCCTTAAGAAAGTCCTATATTATTGGTAGCAATATTAATATTGATGTGTTTTCATATTTATTGGTTTCTTATTTAATTGAATAATTATAATTATGTAAGACATTATCTTTTGGATAAGTTATTTAAGATAGACTTGATAACCAAGAAAAGATAAAATTAAAATTTTTTATAAAGTTGAAAAAAAATAGGAAGAGCCATTCATGTACCACTTTATGGGCTTGCACTTTTCTTTGCTAGTGGATTATTATACAGAGAAAATGTGTGCGGCTATCTAGGTCACCTTATGGGAAAGTTGGACATTCGTTTATGCTGTGTTTGTTTGTAGGAAAGTCTTGGTTCCAAAAGAAATCTTCCCAAAATATTGTAGTACTTTTGTGTTTGGCGAGCATGAATTGCTACAGTAAAAAGATATATGAAAGTTTTCAAATAAGTTCCCTTTTCTTTTAAAAGGGAGAAACTTTAAGTTCCTTGGGAGAGTCTGAAGTTAGTTTGCTAACTGACAATTATAGTAAATACCTAATGGCTCATATTGAATTGGGACCGATCCAATAGTTACGATTGTATTTATATTTGAATTTTAATTTTTTTTTTCAAAATCTAAGTCATTTGAATTTGCAACGCCTATTCTTTAAAAATAAGCAAATCTAAAAATAATATCAAAAACTAATTTACAAAAATTAAATAGGCCAAAATACCCCTAAAATATTCTAGGGGTATTTTGATCAACTTAATTTTTTTGAATAAATTTTTAAGTAATTATTAGATGTGTATTGATGAGAAGAGTGAACGTCCTAAAGTTTATGTGATTTGGAGTTGTATAAAAATAATAAAAATTTAAATACAAAATATAGTTGTGATTGTTCAATCGATCTAAATTAAATATGCGTCGTTGGGCTTACCCTATTCCATCAGCCCATAGGCTGACATGAATTTTTTCAGCTATATATATATATATATATATATATATGAGAAAGCATCATGTCAGCCCACGGGTTAACAACTACAGTATCGGGCAGCAGCCTAAATTGAATCTGAGCTTGATCCAATGGTCACGACCTCATTTCGTATTTGAATTTTCAATTTTTTTCTACAAATCCAAATCACTTGAAATTTCGAGCATCTATTCTTCAAAAAATAAGAGAACCTAATAAAAATATAATAAAATAATTCGTAAAATATCAATTGACCAAAATACCCTAAAAAATTTGCAAAGGTATTTTGGTCAATTTTTATTTTACGAATTATGTTTTATAAATTTTTATTAGGCTATGAGAAGAATGGATGCATAAAATTCATTTGCAGAATAAAAATTGAAAATAAGAGCCTCCCTGACCCATGTGTGTAGGACCCCAAATGATTACCATTAAAGTTGACATGAATCTCTATAAAAGTATCCCATGGGTGTAGGACTTGACTTTTCTATAGATCTGTGTCAAATTTAATGGTGATCGAGTCCTATAAGATCATTACTATATATATATATAGGAAAAGTTTATATAAGGTTGCAACCTTAAAATGTAGAATCACATATGCACCTCAAAAATCTATCGGAAATGTTGTTTTAATGTTGAAAAAACCCTCTAATCGATCATCTCGACATCGATATGTATGAATATAAAAAAAAACAGTTTTTGAGTCCCGAAAATAGTGCATACTGCAACACATTATCTAGACTGTCAATTTTCAAGATTTTCATATACTTATAGATCTACTTGATTTTAACCATTTTTAGAATTTAAAATTTTCTAATTAAGTATAAAAATAGATTTTAAGATAATATTAAAAGTTTTTTACAACAAAATTACATGTTACGATAAAATTGCAAGGTGCGCCTCAATTGGATTGCTTAAGGTTGCAACTTTATAAAAACCGCATATATACATATCTCTCTCTCTATATATATATTACTAGTACAGTACAAGTGCCATTATTGTAGTTTCCTTGGCAAGTTATTCTTTTCGTACGTTTTCAAACTCGACCAACTTTTGACGAAGGGAATAAATAAAGACCTAAATTCCTCTCACACTCAAAACCTTAATATTTGACTCTTTCAAACAACCCATCTACTGAAAATATTTTTTTAAAAATTTATCAACATTTTACCCATTTGCGACTATTTCAATCCAAGACCATGTTTTTTTATTGGTATTTTTTAGATTAAATGAAAAATATAGACAAAATGCCAAATTGTTCCTTCCTTGAGTAGTTTGACAAATTTTATTTTCTTATTTTTTGTCATTATCATTTCTTTTGGCATAAGAATGGTTGTATTATTATTTTTGGGGTTGGGCCTCGTGGCTCGGTAGTTGTATTATTACTTTTGGGGTTGGGCCTCTTGGCACGGTAGTTAGGTGTTAGGTACATGGTTAGAATCTTAGTTTTATAATAATAATAATAATAATAAGGATTGTATACAATAAGGCTAATTATTTTTGATTTAAAGTGATCACGATTATTTACAACTATTTGACTTCACGTTTGATAGCTTGGATGTTACAAAATTTGAAAAAGTTTATTTTAAAATTTGAGCTTGATCAATAAAATAATTACAACTACCCAATGTCACATCCAAAGGGTCAATATTAATGTGACAATCTTGTATAAAAGATAAATCGTTTCATTCAATACTATCCTATAATTTAATAATATAATATTGTTGTTAGTTATAATTATTGCCATAAATATCATTTGGAATTTGTTGTTGTATTATTTTTGTTGTTTTTATCATATTTAGTGTACTATGCTAGCGTTCAGGTTTGAAAACCTCCTCAAACATGGTGCCTCACACAAATGGTTTTGGACATTGGACAAACTTAGAAGCCGTTTGCATAGTGTTTCAAAACCAAAATACGCTGACCTTTTATTTGTAACTACTATTTCTTTTTTTTGAGGTATTTCATGACTATAATTATTATCTTTGGTTGTTAATTGTTACTTGTTATTGTAACCAAGAGTGCTGCAACATGCTAACCTCAACCTATTTAAAACAAGGAAAAATTTTATATAAGGTGTCAACCTTATACTATACGAATAAGGTGCACCTAAAAAACCCACTAGAGTAGGTTGTTTTTATGTTTGAAAGCCTTCAAATCAATTATCTTGACCACGAGATACATGGACATGAAAAAAAATAGATTTTTAATTTGAAAAATAGTTAATCTTTTAACACGTTATCTGTACCGTCCATTTTCGAGTGTTTATAGATGCGGCATTGAAATTGCATTTTCGGTATAGCTTTGAGGTGCACCTTACTTAAATAGTATAAGGTTGACACCTAATACAAACGTCACCCTTAAAACAATTATATATGGTTGTTAAATGTTGTTGCAGCTACAATGTGGCTATAATATGCTAGCCTTACTAACAACTTATTTTTGTTAATACTATTATTTTCTATGATTGTTACATGTTGTTGTAGGCAGTGTTCGCAAAATCGATGCAAAACAGTTAACGGACATGAGTCTGGAAGCGGTTTAACTGCTTAACCGGTAAACCCGATTCAACCGCTTTAACCGAGTAAGTCCCGACGGTAAAAAAAGTGTTGAAAAAATAAAAAAGATAAAAAAAAATCTATTAAAATATGAAAATTTTTATAAAAAATGATTAAAACAAAACACACTCAAATGAAGTTGAAAATTAATGAAAAATGGATTTTTATGAATCCCTTTGTGCTTAGAAGTATTTTTAATTTTTTTAAAAAACATGAAAAAATATAAAAGTGAGTATTAATAACCAAAATAAATTTTAATCTTTACTACAATGTATAGAATATTAAAAAATATATTACAAATCAAACTCCTTATTTTTGAAAATTTATATATATTTTTTTCAAATTTATTTTTTAAATACCAGTCGGTCACCAAAATAGCCTAAAAGCATAATCGATCAGTAGCCGGTTCCAATCTAACCATGCGGTTAATGGTTAAATCGTCCGGTTTTGCCAACACTACAGCTGCAGGCATGGAATAACTTCCAAAGAGACGCCATTGGGTTCAGGTTCAAGGCGAGGTGGCTGGGAGCATACTGTTACAGTACAACAACATCAAAATTTTGAATTTTGCCTTACCCTAGAAAAAGAAACATGGTGCTCATTATGAAGCTGAATTGGTATTTTACATCAATCTGAGGTTTGAATTTTTGCTAACCTTAAAAAAGAAGAACATGATAATCATTGTAAAGCTTGATCGGTTGTTTTTTGTCACTTCTGCCTTTTCAGGTTGGGACACTCCATGCTAAAGCCAAATCCATTTGGTGTAGTGTAGGCCTTCAGAAAAAAATGGAAAAAAGTTTAACGTAAGGATGAGATTGTTGACTTCCTCTCCATTTCTCTTTTCAGTATGTCATTTTGAATGTCATTTTGAATAAGAGAATGGTTTGATAGGGCTGCAGCCCTATCAAAATAAGTAAATCTTCACCTTATTACCATTGAAAAATGCAAGTCAAGCATTTGAAATTTTTTATATTGAATCATTATGGTTGTAAAAATAAATTAGGATTTCAAGCTTTAAAAATAATGTATATTATACCAACTTATCTAGAATGACTATTTAGTTTTAAAAATAACTGTTTGTCTATCTTTAAGATCTGTAGTATTTTTTAAGTTTCAATTTTTATTTTTAGATGGTTTTTTTTTTTATCATTTTTTCCTTTTTCAGGTTGGGACACTCCCTGCTAAAGCCAAATCCATTTGGTGTAGACCATTAGAAAAAATTGGAAAAAAGTTAAAACACAAGGAAGCGATCGTTGACTTGCTCTCCATTTCTCTTTTCAGTTTGTCATTTTGAATAGGAAAATGGTTTGATAGGGCTGCAGCCCTATCAAAATAAGTAAATCTTCACCTTATAACCCATTGAAAAATGCAAGTCAAGCATTTGAAATTTTTTTTATTGAATCATTATAGTTGTAAAAACAAATTAAGATTTCAAGCTTTAAAAATAATGTATGTTATACCAACTTATCTAGACTGTTTATTTAGTTTTAAAAAGAACCGTTCTGTATTTTTTGAGTTTCAAATTTTATTGTCAGTATTGAAAATTGATTTTAGAGTCGAACACAGAGATTTGTCGCCGAAAGTACTTTTCAGACGAGGATTTGTGGTGAGATTTTATTTTATTTCCATAAAGCCTAGGCCTCATAGAAACCTCATCCTTTTGAATGTATTGCTCAACTAGTACTGCTTAAATTGATCACTGACCCTCAATATAGCCCGCAGAGAGAGAGGACTCTGATAATTTACAAGACTCAAAGATGTGTAGCTTCTTGATGATGCCTTGTATCTCTACACCTATTATACTCTAAATCATCTCTATGTATATCACAAACTATATCACAGATTGTAGAAAAACCGAAAACAAGGACCAAAAACATCCATCCACCATCTTAGGCTAAACAAGGAAAAGAATTTAACATAAAATGGAGTAAAAGAAACCCAACAAAAAAAAAATTTAAGAAAAATTTCTTTCCACCTCAATTGGAAGAATTGAGCTTCTTGAACCTCGGCCATGGCCAAACGAGAAGAAAGACCTTCGAACCCTGCCACTGCTGCTGCTTCCACATTCACCATTGCTCCTGCTAATCTCATGAAATTGGGGATTTTGTGCCAATATCTCTGAAACTGTTATATAGAGCTGCCTATCAGCTGAAGAATCCATGGAAAATGACCTTCTAATTGGTTGAACATCGAAACCGTTGTCCAATTCTCTCACATCAATACACTCATCGCCCAAGCTCGACAGCCTATGAACTTTAGCTCTCGAAGATGTTGGTTTTCTTGGAAGAATTCTCATTCCTAATCTTGATTCAAGCTTTCTTGGACTTGGGGTGTGGTGGGCTTGCAGAATTGAGCTCTCCCCTGAATTCGAAGCCTCGTTACCATCTCTAAAGCTCTGGTGATTTTGGGTTTGATCAGTGACTGTTTCTGTGGATCCATTCTCATTGTTTTGAAAGTTGATGGGCTCTGGATTTTGGGTTTCATTCCTAATGGTCACTGAAACTGATGGGTTTGAGATTATGCATCTACAAAGTGGACAATTTGAGTGAGTTTGGAGCCATGTATCAATGCAATCTATATGGAAAGCATGGATACATTTGGGCAAGATTCTCAGTCTCTCTCCATCTCTAAACTCGGTTAAACAAACGGCACAGTCATGGGATTCATCCAGAGAGAGGAACCCATCTCCCCTTTTGTAGAGATAGAGAGGGATCGATTGGATCACCGATTCTTCGAGGCCGTGGCTCGGAGCAGGGGCGAAGACCATGAGATGTTCAGAGTGATGGATGTGGTGATCTGAGAAGCCTCTGAAAGCTTGAAATCGACGGCTAAAATGGTGCCAATTTAAGCAGCATTTGATCACAAACACATAGTAGCCCACTAGCAAGAAGGCAGTGGCCAATATGCCTATGATGGCTATGGCCAAGATGGAGAAGTTGGTGTTTACTGGTGGTTGTGAGGGCATATAGAACTGTTGAGTTGGTGTCATGGGAGGGGCAAGAGGTGGTAGGCTGTGTCTCTGGATCGCAGAAGCCATTAGAGAGAGAACTTGAGGTCACAAGCAAAACCCACCTGGTTGAGAGGGAAAAGCCATTGATGAGCCAAAACCCAATTGGGAAAGACAACAAACTATCATGAAATCCACTCAAAAGCCATAAGAATGGCAAAATCAGGGGCTAGAACAAAAATCCATATGAGGAAAGCCAAGAAACTGACAGAGTTAGCATTAAAGAGCTCCTCTGTTTTCAATTGCCAGAGGTGACAATACGAAAACTGAGGCAAAAGAAGAGCCGATATCAGAAAGCTTGATACTCAATGGAGTTGCAGGAGAAATAATTGATAACTTTTGTAGAGGATCCATGGTCCACTGAGCTCTAGAAAAACTAGAGAGAGAGAGAGTGTGATTTACGGTTGGGACTGGGGGCCCGTGAGAGAGTAGCAAGTCAAAACGTGTAAACCCTAGAGAGAAGCAAGGGAACTGACAGTCTTGTCTGGGCTTGCTTTTTGGTTTTTCTGCACAAGACTGAATGTGCTCAACCCTTCTGCCATGGCCGTTTCAGTCAAAGCTTTTGGTTTTACATTGAAGAAAAAAACCTCCTTTTCTCCTCTTTCTTTGAAAACCTGCAACCCAGTTCACAAAGAAAGGGATTACTCACTATGCATTTAAGCCCCACCAACCATTAATGCTCTCTCTCTCTCTTTCTCTCTCTCCTATGAAAATATTCTCACTTTTGTAAGGAAAATGACACGTCCAAACCAACAATGGAGACGTGCTTTAAAAAAAAATCAGGGCCATTGGTTGAAAAAGAATTATTGCGGAGCGTTATAGTCATCAAAGAAAGGAAAAAATTTATACAACCTCATATTTTACCATTAAGGTGCACTTAAAAAATCCGTTAGAGAATTGTTTCTCTGTTGAAAAAGTTTCAACCTGGAGATTCATAAACATGAAAGAAAAAGGGATTTTAGTTCTAAAAATAGTTGATTTCTTATACGTAATAATCTGGACAGTTTATTTTCAAAATTTTCAAGTATTTATAGATCTACTTGATCATCACTATTTTTAAAATTTTAAAATTTCATAAAGAGCAACAATAAATTTTCATATCATCACCAGGCTTTGCGGTACTGGAATTGCATTTTCATCATAATTTTGAGGTGCATCTTATTTCAATAGTATAATGTGGACACCTTATACAAATCTAGCTCTTAAAGAAATAGCCTACAATTTTTATTTTTATTTTTTTTTGGGTGCTTTTGTTGAAGTCAACCTAGGGTTTTTGACTTCACAAATTGAGTTAGAAAAGAAATGCAAGAAACCGTGTATCTTTGCTTAAATTTTTATCATATTTTGGAGGAGACATATCCTAGCTTGTTCACATGCAATCTCTCTCTAGGGGCTACCGTGTTGCACAAGAAAAGGGTTACATTCGGGCTGGCAACAGGCCCGGCCAGGCCTGGCGCTGTTCCCTTCGATCCGGCCCAAGCCCGCCAGGTAACACTAAAGGAGAAAAAGGGAAGAAAAAAATAAAGAACTTAGGCCAAGGTGGGAGGGCCATAAACATGGCCGAGGCGCAGTATTCGGGCCACATTTTGTGGTCTAGGCTTTAGTTTTACAGGGCATGTTGGACTGGGCCGGTGCGTCCTATTGCCACCCCAAGTACATCAAAGGCATGAGAAGATAAAAAAAAATAAAAAGAAAAAAGAAAAAAAAAGAAAAGAAGAGAGAAGTAAAGTAATTTTTTAAAAGTCATGTGTAAGAGGCCTTGCAGTAGCTGCACATGGAA